CAGGGACCCGCTCAGGGCGGCTCAGGGAGTCCGGTTCTCCTGATGGAGGGACACTTGTTCTTCCAGCGGGACGGACCTGCAGGCGAGACCCTGCAGCTCGACTAGAGCGAGCTGGAGCCCTCTGCGCTCCAATAAGAGCGCGAGACCGGAAATCCCGCCCTGAGAGGAGCGGAAGACCACGCCCCCCTACCCTCCTACGTCTTTTATTTTGTTGCTGTTGGTAATTGTAGTACAGTATAGAAAAAGAAATAACGAATAAAATACATTTAAGAAGCCCAAAATATAAAATACATCTGAGGATGTTTGACAAATTTTGAATTGCGATTTAATGGTTAAACCACTTTGAATGATGTGATTCCTAACTGGTGGTGTGATTGGACCGGATGCATTGAGTAAAGGGGTTAGCGGACAGGTTTGTGTGTGACACCGGACGACTCATGTACCCAGAGTGCATTGCGTACAGGTTCAAACAAGTGCGGAACAAGGCTGGGGAGCAGCTGAGCTTGTGCTCAGTACGGGACGGAGAAATGAGTTTAGTTGTTGTTCTTATTTACAGGGATTACAGGGGGACCCTCACCGGAACATTCATCTCATTGCTAAATGAATACGTAGGCCACGTTATAATGATTTTGCCTGTGCCGTGTTTTCATATAACCGCATGTCCCTGACTATTTAATGTTGTTGTTTTTTTTTAATTTATGAACGGCATTCATGTTGAAAGATACCAGATAAGGGCATGTAACTACGAATGAGTTACTCGCTTGCAGTCACGAAACACGCGAGCACAGCAGCTGTGGGCTTGAGATTCAACAGGTATCCTATTATTATAGATTTAAAATTTGCCTCAAGACTCAGCACGTAACCTAGGCTTATATTAGACACAAGGCTCTCATTTAACTCTCATGTTAAAACAGTATCTAAAACATGCTTCCTACAGTTAAGTAATATTGCAAAATTAAGGCAGTTTCTCTCAGGACACAGATTAATTAATCCAGGCTCTTGTACACAGCAGGTTAGACTACTGTGATGCCCTACTATCAGGGAGCACCCACCACTCTTTCAACACCACACAGCGAATTCAGTTCTCTCCAGTTAGAACATTGCTTTCAGATTGGTGCAATTGTCCCTCACTCTTAGACTCTTTAACACTAGAAAAGTAACTGTCTTTCAATGCAGTGTGTGATCTCCTGTCAGTCTAAGGAACAGACAGTGAGCCTGTCTCTCAATAATAATAATACAGTGTGTGATCTCCTGTCAGTCTAAGGAACAGACAGTGAGCCTGTCTCTCAATAATAATAATACAGTGTGTGATCTCCTGTCCCAGCCTGAGGAACAGACAG